TTATCTTGACATTAAACTTTCTAAAGGTATAAAAATCATTCACAGTATTGCCATACTGATTTATTACTAGTGTACATGAGATGTTGAGCAATTTCCGCTCCGATTCTGTTTAGAATGAGGGGAGATTATGCTCTGCTTGAGCTACCTGCCCACCAACATGCTGAAAATGCAAATGTTTTGGTAGGCTAAGGTATAATGAGTAAAGAGCATTAAACATTCTATGCTGTGTCCTGTGTAACATTCATATTTTAGTTATCATGACGTCCCAAGTGACAACATGCTATTTGTGATTATCCCCATATATCAGTTTTCCATTGTTACAGTTTACATTAGAGTCACAGAGAATAAATTCCATTTTAGATCATCTGGAAACTAAGTCCCCTTTTACACCTAGGCATTTTGTCATTTAAAGCTAAATGCAACAAAATGCTCAAGACAAGGAATCCCATTTGCAAAAAAAATTCAACAATATGCGCAACAAAGCCCGCAAAAACACTTCAAACATGTGTTTCCTGGCATTTCCCATTGTAGTCTATGGACCAAAAAGCGCTGTAATCTGCCAAATATCATCTCAGGAACTTTTTTCAGCAACAGGTGTTTTTCTGATTGCAACAAAATGCTCAGGTGGGAACAAGGGCCATATAAATAAATGGGATTCCTTGTCTTGAGCGTTTTGAGCAACAAAATGCCTAGGTGTGAACAGAAGCTAAAAGTTGATTTGGGAGCCTTGTTTGGAGACCTGACCCACGGGTTAAGGGGAATCACCGGGTCTCTGGGGACTTTTTTCATAAGCTAAAACCTTTATATCAAAAAGGAAAAGGTTGCTTGAAGTTCATTTCAAACTTCATCTACCTACTTGAAACTTTAAAACTGGCCTGGCCACACATGCTACATTCAGATTGTGCAATTTCTGTAAAATTATCTGACATCATGATATGAATTTTCTGAACAAATACAATTTTGGACTAGAGATATTTCCCAAATCTTGAAAGCACTGTCTACTGTCCATGTTTAGACTAAATTTTGGATTTGCCTTGAAGAAATCTGGTGTACTGTGTCCATTGATCGCCTTTTCCACATTTGATGGCATGCATATAAATATATATATATATATTGTA